AAAATATCTTACCTATAATACAGCGCGCCATTCTGTTGTCTGCAGTAAGTTGTCGACTAGTTGGGCTTGTGTATGTGCTTGGAATCGGCACTCGACTGATGGACCAGCCTCGCCGCGGGTCACGTCTCGCGCTTCAAGTGTTGTGATGGGTTAGAAAAAAAAACTGGGTTGTTCTTAATATGAGACGCAGTTGCGTTTCCTGACGTGCTAGGCGGAATCATAAAAGTGCAGTTATTCGGTAGCGTGATAATAACGGTTGTAGTTATCGCGTATTTGTTAAACTGTAATTTAGTGGAAGGCAGAGTTTCATTCAGGCATCTTTCGGGGTGGCGGAACCCCCCCCCCCCCCCCCCCCCACCAGAGTTTCTTCCCGGCATCTCTTCAGGCAGTCTACCGCGCCTCAAACTCTGGCGTCTTTATAGGGGAGAGCTGACTTATGCAATGATAGGCGAATTCGACTTAAGTGAGGAGGGGCGTTACATCATTCACAGATGACCTGTCGCTTTGGTGAAAATAGCCATAAAAATGTGTTACTTGTTGTTGTCTTTTTTAAAAATCTCCTTTGTCTGATCAAAATGAAATATAAAATATGTTAGTTTTTCTATATAAATAATGCACAAATTTACTTTTATAGGACGGCGTGCTCGAATGGTAGAGCATACGAATGCTAACCCGAAAGTCTCGAGTTCAAATCCGAGTACAGGTCCATAGAAAAAGCACAGGGGAGTTTTACTATAAATATTTTTATAAATATTTTAGAACATTTTAAAAAATAAAATGCTAATAAAATGTACTGCTGCTACATTAATTAATTAAAAATTAATTAATTTCACGTTTGCAAATAATGGGAGATAATTCTTATATCTTTTTAAAAAAGTTACCCATCTTATTCAACAAATAGTACTGATTTAACTAAAACGTAAACTTGTAAGTTATTTGTTTTTACATAACATGACATTAAACAGTTTGCTTGAATATGTTACTTTGGTTTAAACCGAATTATTGCTATCAGTAGTGCGTAAATATGACATGGCCATTTTTTTTTGCTTCACAACACTTAGCGTGTTGTTTCACACTTGCCCTCACGTTGGCCGACTGGAGGTTTTTATAGCTGGGCACTGAGTAGTGGCGTCGCTAGGTCGGGTGTCATCTGGTGGTCTCTCCCCCCCCCCCCCCCCCCCATGCCTCGCTACGCCTAAGCCGCTGAGTGACTGAAACCTATTAGTCTGTACACAATTGTGTACAGTCAGAAAATGGTTATTGTGGCAACAGAATAGTTGGGGGGGGGGGGGGGGGGGGAAGGTCTTGAAGTTTTTGAGGGGGAGCTTGAAACTTCCGAAGGGCGGACTTTGGTTAAAATATATATTTTCTATATAAATGTATTTTTTTTTAATTTCTTCAGGGGTGGTGGGCGTGCTCCGAGAAGCCACCCACCCCCACGACACACACACACACCCTGGAGAGATGAAAGAAACACTTTTCCACCCACACAATACTATTTCGACTCTATATCCGGTCAGGTTCACTAAAACATTTTTTTTTTAAGTTGATCACACGCTGTCTTAGCCGTGTGAGTGGTTGAATTGTGGAGCACTCGATTGCTAACCTGAGAGTCTCGCGTTCCTCTCCCACATTCGAGTCCATAGGATGTCCCAGAGTTCACTTACCTCATGTGGGTACCAAGTTCCAGTTCAAAATACAAGTGGGGGTGGGGGGGGGGGGGAGGCACACGATGACCACACAGTTTTGTTCCTAATGCCGTGGTCACAACAAGAGACGAAGGTCAAGGTCTCGGAATACAAGGGTAAGCCTGTAACGAAAATCTCGGTTAACAACTATCCTTATTAATTAGTAGACTCTTAAGTTGAAGTGACTGAGCTTTGTGATCAAGCTGATTAAAACTAGAATAAGGTTATATCGCAGCAACACATCACACATCACTGCAACACATCATTGAAACACATCCTTGCAACTCCAAACTCAAACAACTGCTGCCTTGCAAAATGTTATTCGATGAACAAAGGCAATAGAAAGAAAAAGCAGGTTGAAGCCAGAGTGCACTGCCCCACCCCCCTCTAAGCACACCTAATTGGAAATATATACTTTTACCAGTGTCCGCTTCCCTCCCCGGGAAATTTAGCTCACCCTCCTCTATCACAGCCCCCCCCCCCCCCCCCCAGTGTTTCTACCACACTTTTTTTTCTCCGGGGGACGGGGGCACTGGTAAAAGTATATTTTCTATATAAATTCTATTTCGTGGGAAGGGGGGGGGGGAGCGGTAGACGAAGAGATGCCTAGATGATACTCTGCCCCCCCCCCTCCCCCTTCCGGGGAAAAAAGTCTGAAATAAGACTGGTCAATGGGCCAAATGGCGCATAGCATGTTGACAATCAGTCTAATATTTGAGTTGGAAGAAATTGCTGTCAACATTAGTCAACAATTAAGAGCGAAGAACTTAAATGGTTCTATTGGTACAAATTGTGCTATTGGTACTGCACCATTATTTTTTATTTTTTTAAGTTCGATTTATTTTCGTCACTGCGTTTCTTCTTCACTCCTCTTTGTCTTTTTTTTCGCCTTATTTTCCTTTTTTCCCGTGCAGGCTGTTTCATCGTATCACTATTTTTTTCTCGTATGTCAAAGCAAAATATTGCTTAATCGACGGTTCGTATCACATAAATCTGAGGGCACTCGTATGTCGAGGTACCACTGTACATAGAATCAGTAAAGGCAAAGGCTTTGATCGTAGACGGTGGAATGTCTACCACCTCAACTTAACCATGTATCATATTTATATGGAATCTTGGTCTAGGGTCTACGTTGGTGAGTTATTAATTCTATATAAAGTTTCGCTGTCTGTCTATGTATCTATCTGTCTGACAAGAACGCTCTAGAGAAAAGACAAGGAAATTAAAAACCTTCACAGTAAAACGAAAACGAAATATGACGTCGACACATTTAGCATAGAGTATAACATAATCTCAAACCAGAGAGTGCACACAGTAATATGACGTCATTGATTCTCGCGTAAACATTGAAAAAAAAGGAAATTTTGTCTAATCTAAATGGTTTGCGTGAAGAGTTTCTTGCATATAATTCTTCGGGTAGGGGCGAAGCCCCAACCCCCGCGTAAGAACGTCTGAGCCCCCCCCCCCTCCCCATCTCAAAAGAAATTTCTTCATCGATACTCTATAATAAAATTACCGCCTAATTAATGTGTCTAATCTAAAAAGTGGTTTTCTCGCAATTTCTTTAATGCAATTCTTCGCGTAGTGGCTAAGCGCGACACCAGTGTTTCTTTCAGACTTTTTCCTCCCCGGAGAGGGGTGGGGGGGTACTTGAAATTTTCGGGGGCGGGGTAGAATTTTCGGGGAGGGGGCGGACACTGGAAAAAGTATATAATTATATTTCGTTGAATGGGACGGTAGACATGTTTTTTTGGGGGGTGGGGGGGGGGGGGGTGGGGGGGGGTGTGGGGGTCTGGGGTGTGGGGTGTGGGGGTGAGGGTGGGGTGTGGGGGGGTGGTGTGTGTGGGGGGGTGGGTTGGTTTTAATTTAGGAAAAGAGACAGCACTATCAGCCTAGCGCCCGTTGTATCCTTCCTCAACGGGCCATTTTTCTCGTTCTATATAATAGTTTCGCTGTCTGTGTATCTATCTATCTGACAAGAACGCTCTAGAGAAAAGACAAGGAAATTAAAAACCTTCACAGTCAAACGAAAACGAAATATGACGTCGACACATTTAGCATAGAGTAGAACATAATCTCAAACCAGAGAGTGCACACAGTAAAATGACGACATTAATTATCGAGTAAACATTGAATGAAAAGGAAATGTTGTCTAATCTAAATGGTTTGCGTGAAGAGTTTCTTGCATATAATTCTTCAGGTAGGAGCGAAGCCCCACCCCCCGCGTAAGAACGTCTGAGCCCCCCCCCCCCCTCCCCAACTCAAAAGAAATTTCTTCATCGATACTCTATAATAAAATTACCGCCTAATTAATGTGTCTAATCTAAAAAGTGGTTTTCTCGCAATTTCTTTAATGCAATTCTTCGGGTAGTGGCTAAGCGCGACACCAGTGTTTCTTTCAGACTTTTTCCTCCCCGCAGAGGGGTGGGGGTAATTGAAATTTTCGGGGGCGGGGGTAGAATTTTCGGGGAGGGGGGCGGACACTGGAAAAAGTATATAATTATATTTCGTTGAATGGGAAGGTAGACATGTTTTTTGGGGGTGGGGGTGGGGGGGGGGTGGTGTGTGTGTGTGTGGGGGGGGGGTGGGGTGGTTTCCTCATCGATACTCTATAATAAAATTACCGCCTAATTAATGTGTCTAATCTAAAAAGTGGTTTTCTCGCAATTTCTTTAATGCAATTCTTCGGGTAGTGGCTAAGCGCGACACCAGTGTTTCTTTCAGACTTTTTCTCCCCGGAGAGGGGTGGGGGTACTTGAAATTTTTGGGGGCGGGGGTAGAATTTTCGGGGAGGGGGGCGGACACTGGAAAAAAGTATATAATTATATTTCGTTGAATGGGACGGTAGACATGTTTTTTGGGGGGTGGGGGGGTGGTGTGTTTTGGGGGGGGGGGGGGTTGGGGGTGGGGGGTGTGGGGGGGGGGTTGGTTTTAGTTTAGAGAAAAGAGACAGCACTATCAACCTAGCGCCCGGTGTATCCTTCCTCAACGGGCCATTTTTCTCGTATTAAATATTAATATAGTAAGAACAAAGTATTAGCTTTCTCGACAGTGTGAAGACCTAGTCAAATAGGGTTAGGTTTATAGTTGGCGTTACGTGTCAATAATTCTATTTTAGGCAATAATCTTAAAAACTTATTTTGTAAAAAATTTGTGTTTAGCCGGGATACGCTTGGAATGATTACTTTGGAGGTCAATATTCGTCAGCTGTGACCGTGACCACAAAACCTTTAAACTTTGACCCTAAACCAGCTGTTTGTTACTATGCGCATGCTCACTGTTGCCGGATGCCGACAGTAAGAAACTAGAATAGAAATAATGATGAGAGTGAGCTAACACTCAACCATCAGGGTAGAGAAGATAAGACGAACTCCGCCTTAAATTTATTAGCCTGGTTTGTTAAAATTTCATTTTTATTTGATAAATTATTTAGAGCACAGCTCTTGTATTAATCTGTTAAATTATATTTATACATCTACCATTTTTTAAACCGTCGAAGATGATGAAGCTTCGTTAATCTCGATGACCTAATTATTTTGCATTATTTTAATTTTATAATTTTTATATTTATTTTAAAATTTAGGCCTTTTTGACTGTTTCTACAATACAGTCCTGCAGTGTTGAAACTATCAAGACAAAGGCAACCTTTATTCTATCTGTATACGGTTGTTAACTCTTAATGCAAGCAACTGCAATGACACAACTAGTTCAACTACTATTGCATCCAGGTAACACACAAAGAGCTTCTGCAAAACAATTATTAAATTATTAGCATTTGGCATTAGGCCTAGATCTATGTAAATATTATTATTATTATAAAATCTTTAAATGTGTAATGCTAATAGAATGTCTTTATATTATATTTTGCAGGTTAAAATGCATATTGGAGTATGTAGGCCTAAGCATTTTATATAAGCAGGTGTAACTAGCAGAATACTTAAATTAAAGGTAAGCAGGTTTGATTTTTAAAATGTCATAGGGGTATATTAAGTACACATATAAATTTTTAGCACAAAAATGTTGCTAGTATACAATAACAATGAGTTTACTTTTATTTGGGGATAGGTGTCACCATTTATTGTTCTATTCAATCTTAACCCTCTAAAAGTAATTGTCTGTTATGAATTATCTGTCTACTGTGAATGTGAAAAAGTTTTGGCTGGACTTTAGATTGCTGTTTAAATGTTTAGTAGGAACTGACTTAACATTGTGCATGTGTTCAGTTAAAATCTAGATTTCAGAACTTGTAAAATTATTTCATTGAACTTGATAAATCTTTTATTTCATATTCATTAGTTACATAAGTAATTTGTATATCTAAATTATGTATGTTTTATTTCTACCAATTTTATATACATTTAACATTTAAATTAGGATGATCATCTTTTTTAGGATTTACATGCTTATTTTGCATATTTTTCTACTTTCTTAGTTTCAACAGAATTAACCACTCACGCTAAAGAGAACCCTGCCTTCACTGAACCAGTCAAGAATCTCAAGCCATAGAAACAAGAGCTCACCCATAGAACATAAACACCTTGGTTTGTTTGTACCATATAAGTGTATTCAACATTGTATGTTCTAATTGCTTTCAAGTTTTTTTTTGCAGTCAACTATTAGAGTTTTTATAAGAAAACGCTGTTTAATTTATTTTAACTTATTATTTTTAACTTAAATTGACAGACTTTTGTGTTATTATTTTTTCCTTGTTCCCTGAAATAGTTATTGTAAGCTGTTGTGTATGCATATCACAACAGTAGTTATCAAACCAAAATGTTAAATGTTTCATTAAGATAACATTAGACACAAAGGCATTATGAACTCCTCTGATGGTGAACGTGTTAAGGATTGGACCCCGAACAGCACCAATGTTGCTGTAGAAAATCGTGGATCTGCAAGCACTCCAGGGTGGGTTGTACCAACGCCAAAAGATCACACGACTAATTTAACCTTTTTACCAATATTGGCCTTAATTATTTTTCTTATCTGCACGCTACTTAAAGTATACAAATGGTGCCGGGACGATGCCAGGCACAAAGCTAGGGGAGATGTAGAGTTTGGGGATGACAGTGAGGTCAACTATGGAATCATCAGCGCAGGGGACAAGGAATACATTGATGTTCGGAGTGATGGGATTTCTGTGTATGACACTGTTAGTTCATTTAGAGGCTTAGGAAATGGTTACGCATACTCTTACAACAGTCCTCAGTACTACCATGAAACTGTCACGTCCATAAAGTCACTGGTCCTGCAGAGGGCTGATGGTAGCCAGTATGATAGTGTTAAGTCATATAAAGCGTTTTTAGAAAAAATTACTCAGGATAAAGATTTAGCGGTAGAGGTGAAACTATTAGAGAATTATCCCATAAGAAGTAAAAGTGTGGAGCACTGCGTTGTTTTGGAGGAAGAAAGCTCAGAAAAGTCTGAAGATGTCTCTTCAAGGATGCTTACGTCTTTGCCTTTAAAGAAACACATTCACGTAGAAGGTCATAAATATCAGTATGACAAGAAAAAGCAGAGACACAGGAGGGCAAGCGGAGATGCCCCGAATGGAATGAGAAAACGGTCAGCGTCGAACCCAACTTACCGCAGATCAAATGGCGCAGCAGCCAGCCTGCCTTCTATGCGTTACATTGTTTCTAGTGATTCCGATGATGATGAGTTGCAATTGGACAGAAAAAAGCTATGGGCTGAGAGGAAGAAGATCTCTAGATCAGTATCTGGTGGGAAGATATCTAAAACTCCAAAAGACCCTCCTGATGGCATCTCAACTGCTGGTGCGGAGAATGGTGCAGGCCATTCATGTGTCCATAAAAGGAAACGGCATTACTCTGCAGACAGTGCCAGGCGGCACAAAAAGGGGTTAAAAGCAGGCTCTGATTTAAGTGAGAAAGTTCATTTTAACTGTCAGTCCAACGGCAAGACCAGGAAGCACAGGAAGCGTGATGAAAGTCAGTTGGACGAGTCTTCATCAGAGAACCCAATCAGTTCCCACTCATCCTCTGATTCCAATGTCCCTTCCGATGGTGTTTCTTCTGATTCTGATGATGAAACCAAACAAAACACCCTCCTCTCCAACGCTTCTGATGACAAAACTGTAGACAATGATGTGTTCTTTAGCCTAGATTCCGGAGCAGAACTTGCATCATCCTATGAAGTATTACAAAGCTCTCCACATCGGCCATTATCAGATACTAAAAAGTCAATTGCTAAGGCAAAGGAAGACTTTTTTAGAAAGTCTTCAAACAGTCCATTACCATTGCTGCCTCCTACACTGAAAATATCTGGACCATCCGACAATGACAGCAGCATTTTGCTTGACGACCAGACAACAAATGTCCACATAAACGGTGCAGAATTCCCAGCTCTCAGCAACCATTCCAGCCAGCAACAATCACTGAACCAGTGCTCATACCTAGGATCTCAAGCTGACAGCTCCAGCAAGTCTTCACTCTCCACTGACAGCCACATGCCCGGGGAGAACCAGCTGAACATCTCTGTTGATAGCAGCGCTGAAGGAGAGTCACATGATCAGACCAGTCCTAAAAGAGTTCAGAGATTTCACGTCACTTTTGTTAATAATGATCTATCTAGTCTTCAATCTGAATAACACCAGGATTAGTACAGTAGAATCCTTCATTGATGTACAAAGTATTTATAAAATCATATTTAATTTATGTTAACTCTTAGTTATTTTTTTCTCGTTAACCCTGTAATGGCCAATAGACATTTTAATGTTCACGTGAAATCTCTGTAGATTTTTTATCAATCACAAAAGTCATTGCTTGAAATGTTAGATTTAGAAAATGCATCACTTAGAATGCATATAGATTTTAAAATATTCAAATTTCACCAAAACAAGCAGGTGTTAAATTATTTATCTTTATTATTCACCATGTTAAATGGTCAATATGGGGTTAAGATAACAATGAGGAGTTAATGTAAACAAAAAAGTAGATTAGAGACATTTCTATTTTGAGAAATTGAATTCTTTTGTTAAATTATCAAGAGACCACCATGAAGTGAATGTAAACCACAAGAAAAAGTTCTTGAACTCACAAACTGTAAACTTGATTGAAGGGGACATGTTTGTACAAAGTGTTGCTTGCAAAAAAATGGCAGATGTTGTTTTTATGTATTTGTTGACTGCTCTTTGTAACAACTGGTCTTACATTTGTTTTTAATGACCTATTGTAACTGAAGAATTTGTATCTGGGCCAAAATGTGTGATGTTTATTGGGTTTTTTTTTTAAGTCCATATTTTACAAGAAGTAATCTGTATTGTATGTACATAGCAGTGAGATGAACAGACAATCCATTATGTTTGGGTGTTGTATGTGGTATAACTGGTCTAGCACATAAACAATACATTTATTCATCTGGAATATTATTATGTAGTAATTTATGTGTACATTTTTTTTACACAAAGTTAAAATTTATATAAATTTTTATTATGGTCCTTGCTTAAGAAAAATTTGTATAAAAAAATAGAGACAACAGGACCATTTGGAATTGGGAAAATTGTTAGAGGTGTACTCTTAAAGACGATTGAATGTGGTTATGTTGGAATACATGAAGCCAAGTAGAATACATGACAAAAGAATCTAAGAGGCAGCATGTTGGAACACTTCAGATCACAGTTCTAGAAGTTATCTTAAATTGTTTCATCTTTTTAATACAGACTGGGATTTTTAGAACACTCTCATAATGAAGGTTTATATTCAGCATTTATATTTTTTTTACATAGTGTATGGTACATTTGTGATTTGCATCTTGCTTAAAGTATTACATTTGTGTTTCATTTAAAAATCATTTTTGATTAGTTGTGGTTTGATTGGTGGAAGTGGGGAAACTGATTATGAAATTTTACAACAGGTGAAAGTGAAAACTAATTAGATAAACATGTCAAGTTCAGGTTTCACAACAGTGAAGAAGAAAAAAAACTTACTAAAATGAAATCCAGGTATGATAGTTTGCTTGAAATATAATACATCTGGCATGTTTTGTATGATTGAAAAGAAGAATGACAAAGGAAAATCTTGTGTTTGGCAGGTCCTGTGGGTTCTTTTAGTGTGTATTGAGCACAGCCTGTATGTAGGTTTCCTTCAGTCTGTGCCTAGCACAGCTATGTAGGTTTCTATCAGTGTGTTGCCTAGCGCATATGTGCATAGGTTTCCAACAGTGTGCCTAGCACAGCTGTGTAGGTTTCCATCAGTGTGTTGCCTAGTGCATATGTGCATAGGTTTCCATAATTGTGCCTAGCACAGACATGCTTAAGTTTCCATCAGTGTGTATCTTGTTCATAAAAAAACCATGTATCATGCCTGTTACTGTACACAGCAAAATGAATGACACAATTTTTTTTTATTACAATCTGGTTGTACATTTTTAACCTATTGTTTAATAGCTGTTATACATAAGTAAATTATTTGTTTTACATAAATTGTGTTTAACTGTTTTACTTGAATTTTATTTAGTTGCTATACATCAGAAAATTTTACATAATGTTAAAAAAATGTGTTTTATATGTAAAAGTGAATTTTGTTTTGTTTTATTTATAAATCAGTGTATTTGGCCATGTTTAAGTTTTATAAACTAGAGATATCTTTATAATACTCATTTAATTTTTCCTGTACAATGGAGGATGGCAGTAGAGGTTGGCTTATCAAATGAGTAATGAACCACATAGAGCGTCATCGTAAGTCTGTCACTTCTTACCTTTAAATTCTAAGATAAATTTGGTACTTCTGGATGTTAATTAGTGTGTTTTTATTTTTAATGTAGTACTTTTCATTGAACTTGTTCTTTTGTGCTTCTGTTTTGTTTAAAATTACATAACAAATGAAGGTGAAGTATTGAGTGGCACGTGGTTTCACTTGTCCATTAATTAGATCACAGTGCCTAGCACAGAAAAGCTTATCCATACATCTGTATTAGAATTAGAAGTTTTTATACTTTTTCAACTTTTTAAGTCAATGGTAAACAATTCTCCAGTTATTAATTAGAAAATGACCACCTTATTTTTAAGAAAGCAGAAAAATTAAAATCAGAAAGAATTTTAAAATCTGTGTTTGTTTTTCTACCAGTGATTTCTGTTTTTAATGTTGTTTTTTGTTTCTGTTGTAACTTCATAGTGATTGTTTTCATTCAAGCCAGATGGCACTTTGAGAGCTGGATATAACATATTTGATGAAGAACCCTTAATAAATCTTTTTAGAGCAATGAAGAACATATTGCTACAAATGTTAATGGTTTATTCAATTGAGGAATTATTGTTTCTTCTTGGTCTTTTACATTGGTTGACATTGGTAAGAAAGACCTGTTCAATAAACTATATAGCAGTGCTTCACTGTGATAACTATCTGCTGGATAGCCTGCTCACACTGAAACTGAAAGCACACAATATGAAAATTTAAGTCGGGGGGGGGGGGGGTGAGAAAGTTGTGGAACAACTCCATGAGTTTCAGCACCAGGTGACAACCTGCCTATTAACCCACTTAAAGTAGCCTATATTTAGTGTATGATGCAGAATAACTTAAAAAGCAGAATAACTTAAAAAGCTATACAGCATCTGCACTAAATGCCCGTATCTAAAATAAATCCACCATCAGGACACAACGGCTATTTGAATCTACAACATGGCTAACAGACAAGAATCGGAGTATTTGTAGTAATACTAGTTATCCAGTGATTTTTTTTTCAAATGCTAAGTACTGTGAAGTCTTGACCGATTTTGTTTTTATCACTTTCACACTGATAATAGATCTACTATCTCTGTTCATGGGTGGCATTTTTTTAAGGCCATGTTATTTTATTATTTTATTTTTATCATTGACAATATTTATAATAATTTATATTATCAGGCTAGTCAAAAATTTTAAAACTTCAAATCGTTTGTAGAATCTACATCGGACTGTGTAAATTTATTCCATTTAAATATTTTAAAGATGTTGGTTGAAAAATACGGAAACTGCATGGTTCGTACAAAGAAAAAAAAAGACGCTTTAACTGTAGTTGTTTACCACAAGTCGAGGCAACGACCATGACCCATTTTTATTATCTAGTGGGCTTGTGCAAATCCAGCCAATCAGATTCACGTATTTAGTAAACCAAGAGACACACCTCTAGCTGTCGCTATAGAACAGTAATATATTACTTAAATAATATCAGCATCCAAGTTCTAGCCATCGACTTCCACAGTTTGTAAGTTCAATACTTACAATAAAGTGTATTTTACCCGATACTTCTGAATGAAATACTGTCGAAGTTTAGAAATTATGGAATAGAGATAAGATAGAAAGCACGAGGCTTCATTATTTTTGTTGCTCCAAACCAGTGTTTCTTCCAGACTTTTTTCTCCGGGGGGGGGGGGGGGGGGCACTGGAAATCTTCGGGGGGGGGGGGGCGGTAAACTTTCTTCGTGGGGGGGGGGGGGACACTGTTAAAAGTATATATTTTCTATATAAATTATATAAATTTCATTTCGTTCGGGGGGGGGGGGGGGGGGTCCAAACATTTTGTTTATTTTTATACGTAAAAAAAAAAACGGACAGAAAGCAGATGTACAAGCACCTATCAACAACTCCATATGAGCACTATCATTCAGCCCCCCCCCCCATTCGTCCCCTTTATTGCAGATTCCATTGGTACACGAAACTAAAAACTCCCACCATAAGAGTCAGATTATTTTCACAATGTTGAGGGGTGGGTGACTGAGATACATTTGATTGAGATCGCGTTTGAAATTGAATATATTGTTTTTTACAGATGAATTTTGGGCCCTATAAATGCTCCCACCCCACATCCCTCGCATTGGGGGTAGGGGGGGGGGCTAGCGGTACTGTAGTTCCGCCACTCTTAATAATGTAAGGGAGTCTGGCAGCCTTGAGACCACGGCTCATATTGTGTGTAAAACAGACTGGAGACCACGGCTCATATTGTAAGTCAGACTGGAGACCACGGCTCATATTGTGAGTCGGACTGGAGACCACGGCTCATATTGTGAGTCAGACTGGAGACCACGGCTCATATTGTGAGTCAGACTGGAGACCACGGCTCATATTGTGAGTCAGACTGGAGACCGCGGCTCATATTGTGAGTGAGTCAGGCGGACTGGAGACCACGGCTCATATTGTGAGTCAAACAGACTGGAGACCACGGCTCATATTGTGAGGGAGTCAAACAGACTGGAGACCACGGCTCATATTGTGAGGGAGTCAAACAGACTGGAGACCACGGCTCATATTGTGGGTGAGTCAAACAGACTGGAGACCACGGCTCATATTGTGGGTGAGTCAAACAGACTGGAGACCACGGCTCATATTGTGAGTGAGTTAGGCAGACTGGAGACCACGGCTCATATTGTGGTCAGGGGGGGCCTTGAGACCACGGCTCATATTGTGAGTCAGGCAGACTGGAGACCACGGCTCATATTGTGGTCAGGGGGGGCCTTGAGACCACGGCTCATATTGTGGTCAGGGGGGGGGGCTTGAGACCACGGCTCATATTGTGAGTCGGGGGGTCCTTGAGACCACGGCTCATATTGTGAGTGAGTCAAACAGACTGGAGACCACGGCTCATATTGTGAGTGAGTTAGGCAGACTGGAGACCACGGCTCATATTGTGAGTGAGTCAAACAGACTGGAGACCACGGCTCATATTGTGAGTCAAACAGACTGGAGACCACGGCTCATATTGTGAGTGAGTCAGACAGACTGGAGACCACGGCTCATATTGTGAGTGAGTCAAACAGACTGGA